AAGTGGACCAATTCTATGTTTTTAATGTCAATAAATATAAACAATGTTTCCTATACATCTTTTGGGGATGGTACAAATATGAGCAGAAATGCACAGGGATTCTGTATAAATATGTATGTCTGTGTATTGCTATTTTCAAATTGTTGCAGCCTCTTCACTGTAGTATCTGAGCACTAATAAGTTACACAAAATAAAAGAAGCAGCCTTTAGGTAACCTGTCAGGGTGTAGCCCAAGGATTTGCAAATATGCATGTGTGAGAGAAGAAGAGCCCTTGAAATACATCCCTTTATTTAAAAATTCATAAACTGAAATCACAGCATTAATAAACATTCCAGTTACTCTAAGTTGAGCATGTCATTTATGCGAGTTCTTGACCACAGATGGTGAAAAATGCTGCTTGGCAGAGGATGTGGTAATATATACTGAGGAAAAGGCTTTTTTTTTTTGTTTTTTACTGGTTTCACATTGCCTTTCAAATATAGCATGTCCATGGAATGGTACTAGTATCAAGATAAATTATTCCTGTGGCTTTGGTTGATAGTTTTTGAGCAAAGAATTGCATAATTCATACCAATTTTAAATATTGCCTCTGAATTGGTCAGCCACATGAATAAAGTTAGGCATTATCTGTATTTTATATAATATGAATGTAACAAATTAAACTAAAATGATACATTTTAACTTTTACAGCATTAAAAAAATATAAATTTAGAGCTAAGCCCTATTTCAATTTCACCCACATAAGTAGCACTTAAGTAGCCATCTAATAGCAATTTTATCTTTTACATGTTGCATTTCACATAGCTACACTTGCCTTGCATCTCCTTTCTTAACATGTTCAGTAGGATGTACTATGGCTGCATGCATGCATGCATGGGCACATGTTTAACAGTGCATTAATCACAAAACATTAGTTGCAGAAAAACCATGACTAGTGGGAGGGAGAGCTGTTCTACTCTTAGCCCACTAGCCTAGCAGTAATGGCACTTGTTCAAGGTGTAGGGGACCCAGATTCTAGATCCCTTTCAATCAGAGGGGTTTTAAATTTAAATTTCTCACTTCCCAGAACTAGGCCATGGGGTAGGTACTTTCTAGAACAATCAAGTTTTGTTTTTGAAGTTGGCCTACTGAGCAGCTGGAGGGGAAGATATATGGGTTCAGGAGGAAAAGAACAAGCCAGAGGAATGATGGCTCAGTGAAGAGAAGAGCCAACTAGAGGGAGGGTGGCAATTGCCCTGTTGGGGTGGAGTTCTGTTTCTATCTCTGGCCCTTGCCTCTGATAGGTCAGAAATTATCCTAATGTTTTATCTATTTTATTTAATGAATATTAAATACAAGGTGCAATGGGCCAGCTTCAATAGGAAGACTGAAGAATGCTCTGGACATTGTTTAGCCTATACTGTGATGGTTAGAGCTTTTTGCTAGGAAGCATGTTACAAGTTCAACCTCTCTATTTAAAACATGGAAGGGTTTCTCCTCCCTGCACCTTTCCAGTATTTATACCCAGTACACATTCCCAAAATTCAAACTGATTAAGATGCCATAAATTACTATTGTGAGGCAATGGAAATGCTGCTTAGGCTTGTGAAGGTGAAATAGGATTTAACCTTCAGTGCTTAACTAGTGAAAGGGTTCAGACTAACTGCCTTAAAGACAGAAGTCCTCCATTTATCCAGGTACAGTACAGAAACTGCAAATATAAGATGATTATATACCATGTGCTCCTAATGTGGCTTAGTTTTCTGTCAAAAAATGGACTGCTTAGGACTGAGAGTCAAATTTTCAAAGGCATTTATACATATATAGACAGATGCCTAGTAGGATTTTCTAAAGTGACCAAGTTAGTAGGCACCTAATTCCTTTTAAAATCAGTAGGACTTGAGCAACTGCACTACTTCGGTGCTTTTGAATATCTGGCCTGAAACCTACACCTGTGCCATTTGCCCAGTATCATGGCAGCAGTTAGGACTATCAGTTACTTGACTCTCCCCTTCCCTCCTGTTCTTTCCCAGTCTTTATAGGTACTTTGCCCTTCTGAAATGTTATGAAAAGGAAAACCTGTATTCAAATGAGATGTAAGATGATATTTTTCATGACACTGCTGTTATATACATTACCTTTTTATATTTTAATAGAATTTCTGTAAGTCTTTTTGTATGTGATAAAATTATCTTGAAAAACATGGCTTTGATAATTTTACACATCAAAATATTGTTATTAATATTAGTACAATATTAGTTCACTCTTCAGTAAACTCCATCCCTATTGGAATTATCATTCATTGTAGGGGCCTCAACCTCTGGCCCATGGGCCAGATCTCATTCCTGGTGCTGGGTCATCTGGCCCATGAGGTTTCCAACAGATTTGTAGGGATCCCTGTAGGCCAGAGCTTTCCAAACTGTGTGCCGCGACACATTAGTGTGTCGGCGGCAGTGTGTAGGTGTGTCATGCGAAATGCAGAAAATTTTGCGGAAGGGCACCGCAGAGCTCCCTTACTCGCGTCTGCTTCCCTTGGCCCCTCCCTCGGGACTGAATTACTGTGTCGCGAAATAATGC